ATCTGGACTGAAAAAGAAATAATCTCTTCACTGAAAACATGGTTCTGTGTAATAAGGACTCTGATTTTTTTTAAGATTATTTACTTTTAGAGTGAGGGGAAGGGAGAAGAGAGACAGAGAAAAACATCAATGTGAGATAGAAACATTGATTGTTTGCCTCTTGCATGCACATCGACTGGGAACTGAATCTGCAATCCAGGCACTTGCCCTGACTGGGAATCGAACCAGTGAACTTTCACTTTGCAAGATGACGTCCAACCAACTGAGTCACACTGGTCAGGGCTGAGTCGCTATTTTTAAAATCATTTAAAAATTTTTTCAATTATAGTTGAGATACATTATTAATATGTTTCAGGTGTACACTTAAGTGATTAGACATATGATCACTTACTAAGTGATCATCCTGGTAGGTCTTGCACCCATCTGACGACATACATAGTTACTAGAATATTATTGATTATATTCCCTATGCTCTACTTTACATCCCCATGACTGTCCTGTAACAACAATTTGTACTTCTTAATCCCTTCACCTTTTTTACCCACCTCCCCCAATCCCTATCCCACCTGGCAATGATCAAAATGTTCTCCATATCTGTGAGTCTATTTCTTTTCTGCTTGTTTGTTTATTTTTGTTTTAATAGATTCAATTGTTGATATGTATTATGATCATATTGTTCATATTTTTTTTTCTTCTTTAAAGAAGGCCGTTTAACATTTTACATAATACTGGTTTGGTGATGATGAACTCCTTTAGCTTTTTCTTCTCTGGGAAGCTCTTTATCTGTCCTTTGATTCTAAATAATATCTTTGCTGGGTAGTGGAATTTTGTTTTGCTTTAAATCTTGCGAATCCCTCCTGGCCTGCAAAGTTTCTGTTAAGAAATCAACTGACAGTCTTATGAAAGCTCCCTTGCAGGTAACTACTTTTCTCTTGCTGCTTTTAAGATTCTTTGTCTTTAACCTTTTGCATTTTAATTATGATGTGTCTTGGTGTGGGACCCTTGGGTTCATCTTGTTTGTGACTGGCGCTCTCTGCTTCCTGTACTTGTATGTCTATTTCCTTCCCTAAGTTAGGGAAGTTTTCTGTCATTTTTTCAAATAGGTTTTCAATTTCTTGTATTCTCTCTTCTTCTGGCACCCCCATGTTGTGAATGTTGATATGCTTGACGTTGTCCCACAGACTGCTTACACTATCCTCATAATTTTGGTTTCTTTTTCTGTTCTGATTGGGTGTTTTTTGCTTCCTTATTTTCCAAATCTCTGATTTGATCCTTGTCTTCATCTACTCCAGTGTTGATTCCCTGCAATGTATTTTCATTTCGGTTAATGTGTTACTCCTTTCTGACTGGTTCATTATGTTTTCTATCTCTGTTTTTGTTTTCTGTCTCTTTGTAGATGTTCTCACTAAGTTCATCTACTCTTCCCCTAAGTTCACTGAGCATCCTTATAATCTGTTTTGAACTCTGCATCTAGTAGATTGCTTGTGTCCATTTTATTTACTTCTTTTTTGGCATTTTGGTCTGTTCTTTCATTTGGGCCATGTTTCTTTGTCTCCTCATTTTGGCAGTCTCCCAGTGTTTGTTTCTGTGTATTAGGTAGAGTTGCTGTGTCTCCTGGTATTGGTAGCGTGGCCTAATATAGTAGGTGTTATGTAGAGTGCAGTGTACAGACTCTCTGATCACCCTGGCTGGGCACTAGAGGTGCACCCTCCATGTGGGCTGTATACACCTTCCTCTTGTAATTGAGCTTTGATTGCTGTTGGCAAGTCAGTGGGAGGGATTTACCCCCAGACTGATCATCTATAAGGACTGGCTATGGCCACTGACCTCTGATCACCATGGAGAATCAGCAGTGCAGGAGCCCACCCCACAGAGCAGGATTTACTATATCTTGCCATGTATAATGCACATTTCTTGCCCAAATTTTTGAGGGAGAAATAAGGATGTGCATTATACATGGGTAGTACCTTGTATCTATCTGTTCTTGTGTTTTGTAATTATTTGTGACATAAAATTTCTTGTACCATAATATGTTCAAAAATAAATGCTAAAATTCCTTTATAATACAAAAAACAAGTATCTAAATATAAGTGAATAAAAAATTGAATAAAAAAATTAAAACAAGATTTTTTCCAAGAAAGTTTGTGCCCAAAATGTGATGTACATTATATAAGGCAGAATACAGTACTACAGCAGGGCTCTTGTACTTGCTGAGTTCGCCTATTGCGTGTGCTACGTGTGGAGGTGGTTGGATGCTGGTGCCTTGATGTGGTCTCAAGCTTTATGGTAGGTGTGCTGGCACTGGGCTCTCCTGGTAAGTGCAGGCCAAGGTTAGTTGCCACCAGTGTTCTGCCCAGGGCCACCTGGCATTAGCTGCAAAGGGATCTGAAGATGGCTGCTACTTGTGCTAGACTTAGAGGTGCCCACCCAGGTGAGGTCAAGCTGTGAACCAAGGCTGGCTGCTGCTAGTGCAAGGCCTGGGGCCATTTAGCGAGAGGTACGGGGTTCATTTCCTAATACTGCATGTTTGAGAGATTTTAGGGAAATCTGAAATCAAGAGTCAAGACAGACCATTCGTATGGAAAAGCCACTGGAAACAGCTTGGGCAGGGGTGTGGGCCTCAGGGACTTATCAAGGTAGGGCAAAGAGTGTGAGCCAGATTGGTAAGAGTCTCAGGTATGGTGCCTGCCAGTTTATGGGGGGGAGGTCTCAGAAAAGGAACAATGGCCTCTGCCAGTACTTCTGTCTGAGAGAAAGCTGCCCCACACCCTGAGTTCTTGTCCTGTTGCTGGACAATTTAGTTCTTCCCGTATGTCTGTGGTGCCTTCAAGCTGCTGCCCTAGTGCTGGAACTCAAAGGAAGTGAGTTCAAGTAAGTTTGTATGTGGGCCCTTTAAGAGAAACTTCCTGGGGCTCCAGAAACCCTCCAAATCCTTCAGCCTCAATTCCCACTGGTTTTTACAGCCAGAAGTTAGGGAAACTTTTTCCAGGGAACCTGGACCCCTTGCTCCAAAGGGAGGACCTCTGCAGCTGAGCTATCCCTCCCAATTTTTATCTGCCACATGTGGGTGTGGGACTAGCCCATTTTGCATCTCTAGCTTCCCTACAAATCTTGATGTGGCTTCTTTAATTCCCTAGTTGTAGGACTTCCATTCAGCCAGATTTCAGGTGATTCTGAATGAATGCTGTCCTGTATTTTAGTTGTAATTTTGATATTTGGCTGCTGACAGCTTCTAGGCTCTTGACTTTATTTTTTAGAGCAGTTTTGGATTTACCGCAAAATTGGGCAGGAAATACAAAGATTTCTGTATTTTTCGGACCACACAAGACACACCTAGGTTTTAGAGGAGGAAAATAGGGAAAAAAATTTGAAGCAAAAATTGTAGTAAAACATTTAAAAATATAAATAACATAATATTTCACCAGTGTAAATGTAAAGCTACATTCAGACATAAGATGCACCCCCTTTTCCTCCCAAATTTGGGGGAAGTGTGTTTTATAGTCCAAAAATTACTTCCTTATAGTCCATACATTACTTCCTTCCTTTATACATACACATAGTTTCTTCCATTGTCAACATTCCTTACCAGAGTGGTATAGTTGTTACAATTGAAGAACCTATTTTGACATATCATTATCACCCTAAGTCCATAGTTTACCTTAGGATTCACTCCTGGTGTTATATGGTATATGGGTTTGGACAAATGTATGATATATCCATAATTATGGTACCATAAAGAGGGTGTTTACTATGCTAAAAATCTGTGCTCCAGGTATTCATCCCTCTACCCCAACCTGCCCCTACAACCACTGATCTTTTTACTAAGTCCATAGTTTTGTTAAGAATGTTGTACGGCTCAAGTCATACATTATGTAGCTTTTTCAGATTGGCTTCTTTCATTTAATATGCATTTAAGGTTTCTGCATGTTTTTTTATGAGTTCATAGCTTATTTCTTTTTATAATATTCCATTGTCTGGAGGTACCAGGCCCATTTATCCTATCACCTAATTAAGGACATCTTTGTTGATTTCAAGTTTTGACAATTACGAACAAAGTTGCTATAAATGTGTGTTCAGGTTTTTGTGTGGACATAAATTTTGAACTCTTGGGTAAATACTAAGGAATATGATTGCTGGATCATATGGTAAAAGTATGTTTATTTTTATAAGAAACTACCAAACGGTCTTCCAATGTGACTACCATTTTGCATTTCCACCAGAAATGAATGCGTTTCTGTCATTCCACACCCTTACCAGCATTTGGTGTTAGTGTTCCAGATTTTGGCTACTGTAATAGGTTTTTTAAAAAATATCTTGTTTGTAAAAGAAGACTAGCAAAAAAGATGAAATTGTGTACTCTCTTTGGGTAATGGAATTAAAGGTGATATTTGTTCTTGTTAAACATAAACTTTAAATGTTTTTAAAAAATGTTACCATTTGAGGTGACATTAGTTGTGTTGTGCTTAGTAAAAGAGGAAAATGAATGACCATTATGCATATACAATCCCAGCGGGAAGGAATCTCTGAGTACCCGCCACCATGTAAGGCACATCTGCTCTCAGGCCTACCTGAGAGGTGTGGTGTAGCAGTACAGAAAGGATTGAAGGCATAAACTGCAGATGTTTTTGTTGTTTATTTGGGGAAAGCTTTCCTTGAAGAAGAAAAAAATGAAAGAGGTAGAAGTGAAGAAATTACAGATTTTTAAGGGGAGGTGGGTAAAAATGAAGTAGAATAAGAAGAGGTTCAATCCATAGAACAGATTAATAAATTAGTTTTGTAAAAGGAACATTTCTTCTTTGAACCAGCAGAATAGAAGAGAAGCTTAGCTGTATTGGCATTTTAGACCCAGGAAATCTTGGTTGTGATAGTATATTAAGGTTGGATTCAAAAAGCTTTCTTAGGTATTTATGCCCTTTTTATAGAAGAAAAACTTAAAAGTGGAATTCTAGTGCTTAAAGGTGACTTAATATTGCTGTTTTTCTGTGTTTGTTTTTAAATAGCTGTCACAGGAAGTCTTTTTAGAATAAATTTAGGCCTGCATGGCCTGGTAGCTGGTGGCATAATTGGAGCCTTGCTAGGGTAAGTGTTAACATGGTTTGATTCTAAATTAACACAACTTTCATTAATGCTCTGCTTGTTTAATATCTCATTCATTTCTAAAGAACAAATTTAATACTTAGGGCTTATAAAAGATTACTAGTCACATACTGGTAGTAGCTTTGACTGTCCAATTCTAATTCTACTTTAATTGTTCATTTACTTCCAGTTTTCACTGGGTTAAAAACTCTTTAAATATTACTAATACTTGAAACTATTTGTAGTTTGACCAAAGGTACTTATAAGGAGCAAGAGAAAAGAATAAGGTTAAATAAGCACATTTCTATCTTTAAAAAGTTTCAGTTTTGTTTGTTTAGTTTAATAAATTAAAAAACAATTTCTTCTCTAACTTTTACTTTGAAAAATTCTGAACCTACAGAAAAATACATTGAATGAATACATAGAACACCCATTACACTTCAGTTAGAATCACCAGTTGTTAACATTTTGCCATATATATTTTCTATGTCTGTATATGTGTAGGATATGTGTGTTTCTTTTTTTTTTTTTTTTTGGTTAAACCATTTGAGACTTCATAACTCTGTACCCTGAATTACATGAGTATGCATCTCCCAGGATAAGATCGTTGTCCATTGATATCACAGTACAGTTATCACAATTAATAATTTAGCATTGATTCAATAAAACAATCTTAGGTAGGGTCTGTATTAAAAATTATTTAATTATTACAATAATGTGTGTATAAAAAATGTTTAGAGCCCAGGACCCCACTGTATATTTTATTTAGTAATTGTCTCTCTTTAGATTCCTTTCATCTAGAACAGTTCCCTTTATTATATCATAGTTCTATAGGTCAGAAGTCTGGTTGCCTTGAATGGGTTTTCTGCTCAAGCTTTCACAAGGCCAAAAATCAGTGTTGGCCAGACAGGCTCTTATCGGAAGCTCTGGGGAACAATCTGTTTCTAAACCACTCAGGTTGTTGACAAAATCCTTGTCCCTGTTTCCTGGCTGGATGTCAGCCAGGCATCTCTCTGTTTCTAGGGGCATTCACATCCACCTCACAATATCCCGCCATGTTCCAGCAAGCAGCCAGCGTGTTGAATCCTTTTCATACATCAAATCTCTCTGACTTCCACTCTAATACTAGCCAGAGAAAACTCTCTGCTTTGAAAGGGTTCAGGCAAATCTCCTTTTTGATTGACTCGAATTCAGTTGATTAGTAACCTTAATTACATGTGTAAAATCAATTTGTCATGCATCATAGTATAATCATGGGTGTGATATCTCATCATACTCAGAGTGGAGATATGATGGCAGGAAAATTTGGGGGCACATTTTTGAATCCTGCACACAAATTTCTCTGCTGCAGTTGTATCTTTTCCCCAATATGATTAACTAGTAATCTGTGGGGTAAAAGTCTGTGAGTAGACTGCTTTCCATCTATCTTCTGTGATTTTTTAATGATCCATTGATGATACATGATATAATCAGTTATTACAAAGACAAAACATTGACTCACTATTCTATCATTTCTTCTGTTCTCATTGGCATTCATCTGAGTTCTCCCTTTCCCTCCATCTACCCACTCCCTTTTCCCATCCTCTTTTCAGAAGGTAACAATGTAGATTTATGGATCCTTTTATTTTTTTTTTTTAAGTTTTGAGTTCAGCCTTATTTTTTAAATTTTATTTTTTATTCTTCAACTACAGTTGTCCTAGTTTTTACCCCATTGCTCTCCCCTGCCCTGCTCATGTCCACCTCCTCCCCACCCTAGCTCGCTCAGTCAATCCCCACCCTGTTGTCCATTACCATGGGTCCTTTACACATGTTCCTTGACTGGACAATTCCCCTTCTTTCCCCATTCCCTCCCTTGTCACTGTCATTTTGTTCATTTCTATGTCTCTGTTTCTATTTTGCTCATTTGTTTGTTTTGTTCATTAGATTCCAAATAGAGGTGAGCTTATATGGTATTTGTCTATCACTGTCTGGCTTATTTCACTTAGCATAATGCTCCCCAGTTCCATCCATGCTGCTGCAAAAGGGTAGGAGCTCCTTTCTGCTGCATAGTATTCCATTGTGTAAATGTACCAGTTTTTTTTTAAGTATATTTTATTGAATATGCTATTACAGCTGTCCCATTCCTTCTTTCTCCTCTCTCTCCCTCTCCATCCGCTCGCTACCCCCACTCCCTCCAGCATTTGCCCCATTAGTTTATGTCCATGGGTCATACATATAAATTCTTTGGCTTCTCCATTTCCTATACTACTCTTAACCTCCCATGTCTATTTTGTACTTACCAATTATGCTTCTTATTTCTTGTACCTTTCCCCCCATTCTCCCCCTCCCTGCTGATCACCCTCCATGTGATCTCCATTTCTGTGATTTTGTTCTTGTTCTAGTTTTTGATTAGTTTGTTTTTGTTTTAGGTTCAGTTGTTGATAGTTGTGAGTTTGTTGTCATTTTACTGTTCATGGCTTTGATCTTTTTCTTAGATAAGCCCCTTTAACATTTCACATACAAAGGGCTTGGTGATGATGAACTTCTTTAACTTAACCTTATCTGGGAAGTACTTTATCTGCCCTTCCATTCTAAATGATAGCTTTGCTGGATAGAGTAATCTTGGTTGCAGGTCCTTGCTTTTCATCAATTTGAATACTTCTTTCTAGCTCCTTCTTGCCTGTAAGGTTTCTTTTGAGAAATCAGCTGATAGTCTTATGGGCACTCCTTTGAAGATAACTGTTTTCTTTTCTCTTGCTGCTTTTCAGATTCTCTCCTTATCTTAAATCTTGGGTAATGTAATTATGATGTGTTTTGGCATATTCCTCTTTGGGTCCAACTTCTTTGGGACTCTCTGAGCTTCCTGGACTTCCTGCAAGTCTATTTCCTTTGCGAGATTGGGGAGTTCTCCTTCATTATGTTTTTAAATCAGTTTTCCATTTCTTGCTCTTCCTCTTCTCCTTCTGGCACCCCTATGATTCGGATGTTGGGATGTTTAAAGTTATCTGAGAGGTTCCTAAGCCTTTCCTCGTTTTTTCAAATTCTTGTTTCTTAATTCTGTTCCAGTCGAATGTTTATTTCTTCCTTTTGTTCTAAATCGTTGATTTGAGTCCTGGTTTCCTTTCCTTCACTGATAGTTTCCTGTATGTTTTGCTTTATTTCACTTTGTATAGCCTTCACTTTTTCCTCATTTTGAGCTCAATCAGTTCTGTGAGCATCCTGATTACCAGTGTTTAGAACTTTGCATCTGATAGGTTGGCTATCTCCTTGTTGCTTAGTTCTTTTTCTGGAGTTTTGATTTGTTTTTTTTCACTTGGTCCATATTTCTTTTTCTCGGTGCACCTGTTACATTGTAAGGGCAGAGCCTTAAGTATTCACTAGGCCGGGGCAAACCACATCACTGCATTGTGGCACTGCATGTGGGAGAGGGGTCAGAGAGGGAACAATGCTAGTTACTTGGCTCTCACCCCAATTTCAAGAGACTGGCAGTTTCTCCTGCTTCCACAACCCCCACAGGTTTTTGTAGCCAAAGGTGCTGAGGCCTTGTCTTGCCCGTGCTAGAAACCCTGGGTTGCATGGTCTGTCTCACTCCCAATGTATTCCTCCTTGTTTACCTGCATGCGATTGTGGGAACACTCAGTCTATCAGCTGCTGCCTTGCTGCACGTCCTCTCCGCCCCAGCTTCCCATCTTCATCCCTCCTACTAGTCTGGATGAATGTTTCTTCTTTAACTCCTTCATTATCGGACTTCCATGCCATTAGATTTTCTGGCAGTTCTGGTTGATTTTGTTTTTAAATTGGTTGTTTTCTTCTTTTGGCTAAACGAGGAAGTGAGGCATATCTACCTACGCCTCCATCTTGGCTTGAACTTATACCACAGTTTTTTGATCCACTCATTTCCTGGTGGGCACTTAGGCTGTTTCCAGCACTTGGCTATTGTAAATTGTGCTGCTCTAAGTACTGGGGTGCATAGGTTCTTTTGAATTGGTGTTTCAGGATTCTCAGGGTATAATCCTGGCAGTGGGATCACTGGATCAAAAGGCAGTTCCCTCTTTAGTTTTTTGAGGAAATTCCATACTGTTTTCCACAGTGGCTGTACTAATCTACATTCCCACCAACAGTGCACTAGGGTTCCCTTTTCTCCAATCCTCACCAGCATTTGTTGTTTGTTGATTTGTTTATGATGGCCCTTCTGACAGGTGTGAAGTGGTATTTCATTATGGTTTTAATTTGCATCTCTCTGATGACTAATGATGTTGAACATTCTTTCATATGTCTATGGGCCCTCTGTATATGTACTCCTTGGAGAAGTGTCTGTTCAGGTAATTTGCCTTTTTTTTTTCTTTTCCTCCCTAAAGAGAGGGAGAGAAACATCAATGTGTGGTTGCTTCTTGAATGCCTCCCACTGGGGATCTGGCCCAAAATCCAGGCATGTTCCCTGACTGGGAATCGAACCAGCGATCCCTTGGTTCAAAGCCCGTACTCAATCAACTGAGTTACACCATCCAGGCATGTTTGCCTATTTTTTAATTGGATTATTTGTCTTCCTGGTGTTGAGTCATATGAGTTCTTTATGTATTTTGGAGGTCAAACCCTGTCCCTGATGTATGATTGGCAAAGATGTTCTGCCATACAGTTGATTTCCTTTTAATTTTGCTGATGTTTTCTTTAGCTGTGCAGAACCTTTTTATTTTGATGATGCCCCATTTGTTTATTCTTTCCTTTGTGTCCCTTGCCCTAGGAGATAGATCAGTGAAGATATTGCTGTGCAGGATATTTGAAATTTTCCTCCCTATGTTTTCCTATAGGACTTTTATGGTATCATGACTTATATTTAAGTCTTTTATCCATCTTGAGTTTATTTTGGTGTATGGTGTAAGTTGGTGGTCTCATTTCATTTTTTTGCATGTTGCTCTCCAGCTCTCTGAACACTTTTTGTTGATAGGCTATTTTTAGTACATTTTGTGCTCCTGTCCCCTTTGTTAAATAGTAACTGACCATAGAGACATAGGTTTATTTCTGGGCTCTCTGTTCTGTTCCATTGATCTATGTGTCTGTTCTTATGCCAACACCAGACTGTTTTGATTATAGTGGCCTTGTAATAAATTTGATCTCAAGTATTGTGATCCCTCCTTTTTATAAGTAATTCTTTTAAAATTTAGCATACCTTAATTTATCACTGATATTTTGTTGCAGTGTTAATATAACAGGTTGATTTGAAGGGAAAAATTGTTGAAGTTAGCAACAATAATAAACTTTTTTCACTGGGGAATAAAAATAAAAGTTACCATCTTAACCATTTTTAATCATACAGTTTCAAGGTGTTAAGTATATTTACATTGTTGCTCAACAGATCTCCAGAACTTTTTCATCTAGCAAACCTGGAACTCGGTACCCATTAAATAGTAATATTCCCTCTCCCTTTCCCTCAGCCCTTGGCAGCTACCTTTCTATTTTCTGTTTCAGTGGTTTTGACCACCTTAGATACTTCAGGTGAGTGGAATCATATGTCTCCTTTGTAATTGGCTTATTTTTCTTAATGTGATGTCCCTGAGGTTTATCTGTATTGCATGTGACAAGATCTTTTTTTTAGTAACATTTTCATTATTCATCTGTCTATGGACATTTCCACTTAGCAACAATAATTTTTTAAATGAGCTTACTTAAGTTATAACCAGAGGAAATTTAAGTCACATGAGAGCCAAAAAAACTCCTTTTCTCTGAGAACACAAGAACAAAACCCTCTTCCTTATTGTAATAAATGTAATATAAATCAATTTCTAAATGGATAACTCTTGGCATTGTAGGTGAGACCTTGTGCTGAACTTTTGGATTTTAGGATATATTGCTGGCTCCAACCCTAAAAGCTGGTAGCATTCTTCCCTCAACCAAAAATAGGGATCTGGTGCCATTTCTGGTATTCATTTTGTTTCTGTGAAACCTTCTATATAAAGCTACTTACGAGAACTTTTCATAAGCATATATTTTCCTGGTCAGTTTTTGATTAAAAAATAGCCAATTTATAGACATGTTTTTATATCACTTAAGGAAGTTGCAGTGAGTGTTTATTGTTCAGACCAGGAAGGAAATTGCCTTGATTTTTTTTCTTTATTCAACAAGGACACTTTAATTGTCAAGTGTTCCTGTACCTGCCAGTGAACAAATGGCTCAGTTGGTATTGCTCACGTTTTAGCAGAGACACTCACATCTTGTCTGGTCTAATGGCGTGTTTTTTCTAAGCTTCCCCTCTTCTTCTTCTCAGCACGCCTATAGGAAGCCTGTTGATGGCACTTCAGAAGTATTATGGTGAGACGATTCAGGAAAGAAAACAGAAGGATCGAAAAACTCTCCATGAGCTGAAACTGAAAGAGTGGTAAGGAACATTCTAAGACTAGGTTGTCTGACTTTCCTAGCAGCAGGCCTTTGATACTATAACCGAACCCAAACTCGGCTGCCTGTCGCAACAGAAACCAAACTCATGAGACAGGTGTTGGTGAGGAGGAAAGTGATTTACTCAAGTGCCAGCGTCTTGAGAAGAAGGGTTGATTCCTGTCCTCAAAAACCCATCTTAACATCTCTGGTCACGCCAGTGAGTCTTAAGGGAGTTTGTAGGATTTCAGGAAGGGGAAAATTCTTAGGGGGATTACAGACCTGCTGTTTCTTTTGGGAGTAAGAGGTGGGAATACTGAAAGGGAAGTCACAGAGCTTCTCTGTTTGCATTAGCATTCCTCCCTTTCCCTGAGGAACGTAAACCATAAATGTGGTTTATGGTTGGCACCAGTGTATCTTGCAACTACAATGAAGACTGAAGCACAGGTTTGATTAAATACTTTGATTATTAGCTGGGAGATGCAAAATCATGGTTATAATTTTAACATCTTAGTGCAGGCAGAGGTTTCCCACTGAGGAGGGTGAAAACTTTCACCCATTCCATGTAGTCATTTCCTGTGGACCAGTAGTCAGACTGACAGCAGACTTCATGCTGACTTCATGATTCTTTGAAAGGTCAATGTAACAGGCTGCCATCTGGTGCTCCTGGTACAAATCACTCTTACAGTTCAGCTCCCTGGTACCTAAGGTGACATTTGCTGCAGCTGCTGCATTGAGAGTTGAATAGATAGGCAGTCTTTTTAAATTCAGGTTTTTACTTGAAACTTTCATTTCTGCTAAAACACACAGACATGGGAATTCTTGATATCTGTAGATCTGTTGTCCAAGGACTTACATGCTTTAGGAGAAAAAGCGTTGATTGTTGGAGCCAATGAAACCTTGAAAACAAGGCTTTAAATCCTAACTAGACTATTCATTACTATGACCTTAGACATTCTTCTTAACTTTAAGGCCTAAGTTTCCTCAGGCATTCTAAGGGCAGAATCACACCCTTTCTCTTATTTCATTCCTTTCTCTTCTCTATATTAAGAGGGTGGATGAGATATGCAGTTATGTAGGTTCTAGAGCAAAGGCACTTAAAATTCTGTAACCAGCATAAAATTTAATATTAGGGAGAATTAACATGAAAGCATTACCTTCTTTCTAGTTCTTAGGTATCATAAGAGACTTCTTTTCTTAAAAGGAAACCTTGAGAAAGGAGTTGGAAAGGTAAGGAAAGTATATTGGCTATTTGAATCTGATATAAAAAGTATGGAAGAATTAACATTTGGAAAAATATGAACAAGAATGATTTTATTTCAATAAAAAAATGGAAACCAGAAAAAGGAAACTAGAGAAGATGATTGTTATTTAGTGATGGAAAATGGGTAAAAACAAAAACAATTATCATAATGAAAGAATACTTTGGCAGAAGGAAATAGTATCAAAGTATGGAATGAAAAAGTATATATACATATGTATGTGATTTGTTTAGAAAGTGTCCAACCATATAATATGAAAAATAGAGACATTTAATGAAGAATATATAAGAAACATTGTACACAGGACAATAACACCTCAGTCCCCTTCAAAGTAGGTACCTTGGGAATCTCACACAGTCTTCCTAGTCACCATCAGCTGCTGTGTCTTATTTTCCTGCATCTCATTGGTGGTCTGAAATCTCTTCCCTTTCAAAGGTGATTTTAGTTTTGGGAAAAACCAGAAGTTGCAGGGCACCAAATCTGGGCTACAGTGGGGCTGAGTTACCTGGGTGATTTGAATGTTCTCCAACAAACTGTGCACGAGATGTGATGATGAGTGGGCACGTTGTTGTGATGGAACTGCCAATCCCCAGTTGCCCATAGCTGCGGCCTCTTGAATCATCCAGATAGTTTCCACTGAGAAATGCTCAAGTTTAACACAAAATCTGATGCAGATGTGTTGCTCTACTCAAGTCATTTTGAATGTGAGGGCCATGCAGTACATACGCTCACTCAATGGTGTCTACCGCCCCAACTGACTAGTACAGTGAAGTTGTCATTGTTCACACATGTGCATTCCAGTCCACTCTCCTTGGCTGGAAGTTTACATCAATGTCTCCCAAAACATTCTTGTTACATTAACAGTGCCTAGACTTTTGACTTTTTCTGGACTGACTATACACACACCCACACACACACATATATACACATATATAAAAATGATATTTCTGAGAAGCATTAATTTAATAACTGGTAAGAAACTTTTATCTGCTTCTTTAATCTAGAGAAATCAAACATAGTTAGAATCTACAAAATTGTTCAGTAAGCACTAAATGTAGAAAACTGGCTATAGAGATATGGAAAAAGAACTCAAATCTGGTTGTGAAGAGTTGAAAGTCATAGGTGACCCTGATAATCACTTAAAGGAAGGCAATAACACTTCATTTAGAAAAAGAACTGATCTCTTAAATGGAAATTAGATTTTAATTCCGCACATATATACATCTGTAGCATCCCATCTGATATTTCTGTACCAAGGTTACCATTGTTAAAGCTTCTGTGTAGTTTCTACATGGTATGGCAACAAACAGTTTAACAGAGCGGCTGGGGACTCATGTGCCCTTGACCATGAAGGCAAGAGGACAGCCACGTTGCAAGGCTTACACCTTAGATCAGGGTGCTTCAGCTCCTGCATCACGTCATCCCTGTGACAACTCTGCTGCTGCAGTAGCAATATCCATTTTGGTAATACGAGAATTCTAGTTGGTGTGTGAGTTGAAACAGGTTAGGAGAGAGAAGAAAGTCACTGTATTTGAAGTGCAAGGAGCAGTGTTTGCTCATAAGTTGCAGGGAGAGTACGACAAATGCTATCTTTAAAAAAAAAAATCTCTCTACCAACTAAAGCATAGCAGGACTTGATACATCCTTTTCATTCTTTGGTTACAGGAAAGCCAGACTACAGTTTACTGAGCTCCTCCCTGAAGAAATTGAAAGTAGCCTACAGAAAAATCGATCCAAGGATGATGCTGAGAAAATTGAAGCACTGCTAAATCTTCCTAGAAACCCCTCATCAACAGATAAACAAGACGAGGACTGAAGTTGTTCTGGACTTGAAATTCACTGGAAAGTTGAAAGGAGCTATGTTGCCATGTCCACTGAATGCCGGTGGTCAGGCTACTCCTTGGTTGCCCTGATGACAGCTGTAGAGGCAGTGTTTGGCCTTACTTGTGTTTTTTTTAATATTATTATTTTATTGTTGTTCAAGTAAAGTTGTCTGCATTTACCCCTGCCACTCCCCTCCCCACATCAGTCATCCCCACCTCCCTCCCTGATCCCACCATGCCTTGGTTTTGTCCATGTGTCCTTTATAGTTGTTCCTGAAAACCCTTCCTCCCTCTCCCCCATTATCTCCTCCCACCTCCCCTCTGGTTACTGTCAGATTGTTCTTAATTTCAATGTCTCTGGTTATATTTTGCTTGCTTGTTTGTTTTGTTGATTAAACAAATGGGACCTCATCAAAATAAAAAGCTTCTGCATGGCTAAAGAAAACAGCATTAAAATGAAGAGAACCAACTAGATGGGAAAACATATTTGCTAGTGATACCTCAGACAAAGGTTTGATCTCCAAAATACATAAAGAACTCTTACCTGTTTTTTAAACCAAGAATTGGGCCAATGTACTCTCACTTTACTCATCTTTAAATTTAAATACATACATTTATATTGATCAGCCTATATATTTGACATATCTGTATCAATCGATCAATATTTTTTTTCCTAAATTTTACAACAGTAAATTACCCAAAAGATTAATGTGGAATTCTATAGGTTATGTATGTATGCTTATAGCCCTTTAAAAGGGTCCTCTAGAAATCAGGAGGAGGAGGAGAGAAAAGAAACAGGTAAGGCAAATGGTCTGTGAAACCCTGGTGCCTTGGGTCCTAGTAGCAGTTTGGGCCTAAATATGTAGTAGTGTTTGGTTTTAATAAAAATAAAAAATGATTTCTGTCATTTGAAATAACATGAATTTCACAATAAGGATGTAGATAAGCATTATTACAGAAACATCCTGACTTTGTTTACTCGGTCAGTATTGCTGGCAAAATGTATGCTGTGTTATGAGTTACTTAGCATAGATATGATAGATACATAGTTTCTATACTCCAGAAGCTTCCTGCCTCAGAAGGAAGCTGTCCCATAGTGGATTGTGACTTTTACTAAATGAGGGGGTGGTGGGATGGCTGAATTAACTATAAAAGGGAAGAAAAACTTGTAGTGCTTTGTTTAGATGTTAGACCTCATAGTTCCTACTTTGGAAATACTGTTGCAGGAACAACGTTTGTGAAGTTGCAAGTGTGGTGGATAAAACAGTGGTTCTGGAAGAAGACCTCTGGCCTGCAATCCCAGCCATATGGCTTCAAAGCCTTGTAATTTTAGCTAAAACAAATTTTACTTATTTTATTTTTTAAAAAATTTTATAAAGTTATTGGGGTGACACTGGTTAATAGGATCATATAGGTCTCAAGTGTATAGTTCTGTGATACTAGATCTGTATACTTCACCCGCTGAAGTCAAACCATCACCTTGAATTAGGCTCCCTCCATGCCCTCAAAACCCACAACTCCCGCCCTCTGGTAACCGCCACACTGCTATCTGTGTCCACGAGTTTCAGTTTTATATCCCACATTTGAGTGGAATCAGATGGTTCTTAGCTTTTCCTGACTGCTTTATTTCACTTAGCATAATGTTCTTGATAATATTCTATTGTTTTAAGGTTTTTATTTGGTTTTAGAGAGGGGAAGGGAGGGAGAAAGAGAGAGATGTGTGGTTGCTTCTCGCGTGCCCACCTGGAGACCTGGCCCACAACCAGGTATGTGCCCTGATTGGGAATCAAACCAGCAACCTTTTGGTTTACAGGCAAGCCCCCAGTCCACTGAGCCACACCAGCCAAGGTGCTGTTCTTAATTTTTTGAGGAACCACCCAACTTTTCCATAGTTGATGTGCCAGTTTACATTCCCACCAGCAGTTCCCTTTGCTCCACACTCTCCTACACTTGTTTTTGTCTGTCTTGTTGATAACAGCCATTCTAACAGGTGTGAGGTGGTATCTCGTAGTTTTGTTACGGAAAAAATGACTCAGATGACCTCAGAGTTTGTGAAGTGGGGTTTTATTCACACATGCGGACCCAGAGGAGATAAATTCCAAATTCTGGGCACCAAGCTTAAGCTGGAGTTTGCTTATATTCTTGTTACAAGGCAAAAAGGAGGAGGAGGAAAACAGCTGCTGAAAGCAGGCATAGTAGAAAGCGAAGGTTAGTGTACGACCTTGAGGTAACTGCTTATCTGGGAAAGGCTGCTGCCTGGGAACGGCTGCTGGTCAGCTCCTACCCAAGAATGACTACTGCTCAGCTATGTCCTGTCACAGTTTTGGTTTGCATTTCCCTAATAGTGAAGTTGACTGTCTTTTTATATGGCCATTTCAAATGGCCAGTTGGCCATTTGTATGTCTTCTTGGGTGAAGTTCCTGTTCAGGTCCTCTGCCCATTTTTTAATCCTCACCTGAGGATATGTTTGTTGGTTTTAGAAAGAGAGGAAGTGGGGACAGGAGAGAGAGATAAACATTGATGTGTGAGAGAAACATCAATCAGTTGCTTCCTATTTGCACCCCAGTCAGGGATAGAACTTGCAACCTAGGTATGTGCCCTGACTGGGAATAGAACCTGCAGCCTTTTGGTGTATGGGAAGATGTTCCCACCAACTGAACCACCCTGCCAGGGCCTCTGCCCAATTTTTAATTGGATTGTTTGTTTAGTGTTGAGTTGTATAAATTCTCTGCATAATTTGAATATTAACCTTTTTTCACAGCTGTTGTGTGCAAATATCTTCTCCCATTCAGTCAGTTGCCTTTTTGTTTTTTTGGTTTGTTTTGTGTGCAGCAGCTTTTCAGTTTGATGTAGTCCCCTGCTGATGCAGACTCCAGCTCCTCGGGTCCGCCACATTGTGGATGAGGCACGAGAAATTCACACGGACTACCGAGTCCTGTGGAAGAAAAGGGCGAGCATGGCTTTTCTCTCAAGAGGAGAAAAAGCCTCGGCCCTTGCTTTGACTGGCCTTTATTGCTTTTCTGGGCACTTACATGATGGTCCTCATTTACTATGCACACGTTTGCTTTAGGTGGTTACCTTTTACAGAAAACAAAGGAGAAGATGTCACTAATCACATCACAGAAGAAGGATATTTGTAAATGCAAAGGAAAAAGTGGTTGAACTGGTTACACTCCATACTGGGGAGGTTTAGCACAGACTTTAGGAAGTTACAGGAAGCACTTGCTGCCTCAATTCAGGGTGAGGGAGTTTTAGCAAAAGCAAGTCTCAAAGCGGCCGAGGTACATTGCAGGCCTGATTCCCCACAGGAGAACCTATCCGTGTAAATGGGTCCTGTCTGGGCCCACACCACGCAGAGCGGCCTCCTATATCCCTCATTTATTTTAGCCTTTACTTCCCTTGCTTTTGGGGTCAAATTAATAAAATGTTCTCTATGACCAAGGCCTATACATTTAGTACCCATGTTTTCTTCTATGTAATTTATTGTTCCAGATCTTATATTTAGGTGTTTGATCTGTTCTGAATTAACTTTTGTATATGGGGACAAACTGTGATCTAGTATCATTCTCGTGCATGTGGCTTTCCAATTTTCTCAGTACCATTTATTGAAGAAGCTTTCCTTTCTCCAATTGTATGTTTTTAACTTCTTTGTAAAAAATTATTTGCCCAGGCTCTGTGTTTCTGTTAGACAGATGGCCATTCCTTCCTGCTGAGTGCCAGCCACAATCCTGAGATACAGTGGTAAAGGTTGCAGTGAACCGATTTGGCCATATGGGGGCCTGATCACCTGGGCTCTTTTAACCCCGACAAAGTGGATATTATCATCAGTGATCCCTTCACTGACCTCAGCTACATGGTCTACATGTTCCAGTATGATTCAACTGATGGCAAGTTCAAGGCACAGTTAAGGCTGAGAATAGGAAGCTTGTTATCAATGGAAAGTCCACCTCCCTCTTCCAGGATCAAGATCCCACCAACATCAAATGGGGTGATACTAATGCCGAATATGTTGTGGAGTCCACTGGTATCTTCAAGTGAAATGGATTCACTTGAAGGGAGGAACCAAGAGGGTTGTCCTATCTATCCCTTCTGCAAATGCTCCCATGTTTGTGATAGGTGTGAACCATGACAAGTAGTTCTGGGGAGGCAAGCTATGGGAGGGTGGGTGAGGACTGTGACTTTGTTTCTCTGTCTGGAATGCCAATTGCCACAGAAGTGTGGCCACACCTCTATGCTTCATCCCTGCCCAGTCAGAGGGATGTGGGCTCAGAAAAAGCTGTACTGTCCACTCCTGCAGGAATGCTCATTAAATCTGCTCCATCTGCTGGAGGGAGTTCCAGCTACAACTGTATTCCTTCCCTTTCCAGCCTGAGATTGTGGTGAGCGCTAGATTGCAGGGCTGCATTCATGGATCCCCTGAGCTTTTTCCCCTTCTTGCTTCCCCAGTTTGCTCCCACTTGCCCCACTTTAGACGTTTCAGTGCATGGGTCTTTCTGGTCTGTGTGTGCATTGAGAAGGGAATCCTTTGTGGAATTATAGCTGTTGAGATTGTTGAAACTTCAAGGGGAAAGACCTAGGTGATCTGTCATGCCAGCAATCTTCTGAGGTCACTCAGATGTTGCATTTTTACAAATTGAGTGCAAGAACTTTCCCCAGCAAAAACAATATGACTTGCTTTATTGTCATACTAGATTTATTGTAGTAGGCTGGAACCAAACCTGCAATATTTCCAAGGTATGCATGTATACTAAACATTAAGCTATCTTTAAAAGAAATTGATTGAGGTACTAAAAATAGCATTCCATAGGGCTTCCTTCGGTCCCTAAAATAGCTTTCCTTGGTATTTCTGGATTCTTCTGAGATCAGCACAGAATTTAAAAGAAAAAATCAGTTAACAGAATGAAAATAAAGGTAGTGGACTAACAAAACTTAAAACAAATGACAAAAATAAGAATTGCTGCATTTAGTTAAGACTCATAATCCTTCCATGATCATAAGGAAACCTCAAGGAATAGCCATAAAATAGGAAGAACCTAAAAGACAGATTACTTATTTTTTAAAAATTTTTTTGAGAGGGAGAGACATTGACTTGTTTATGCATTCATTGACTGCTTCTTGTATGTGCCCTGACCGGGGATTGAACCTGCAAACTGTGTGTCAGAGATGATGCTCTAACCACTGAGATACCTGGCCAGGACATGACAGCTTATTTATATTTAAATAAACTATACTATCATTGCT